CTTCTATACTTTTAAGCACGTAGCTATTTAATATTAGCATTGTTCTTCCGATGTCTGATTTCTTTTTAATTATAGGAAATGCGTTTTTCTAAGGTACATAGACTTTTGGGATTGACTGTATAGCCAATACATCCTTAATTGTCTTCTAGAGAAATTGATTAACGTCGAAAGAGATAAATTGTTTCGTACAAGAGGCAATGCTCCTTTTAAATAATACTGCACCCCTGTCAATAGGTTCCACCCTTGGCACCATCGCCCCTCTTGTACATTTTCATATATGCTCTCCTACTGAACAAAGTATTATGAGAACATAGTTCGCATACCTCGACTACCAGTACGTACGTATTATAACAGGTGGACTATTGTTATATTTTCTTCACGGAATTCTATTCTTCTATTTAAAAATGTCTCAACTCCTGAAAAGCATATTCTCACTGCTGTAGTCGTTATTTATTATATTTAAAATATTTCCATGATGACGAACCTTTTACCATACATTTCCAATTATTAAAACTAACTAAAAGTGGAATATATGCGTTGCTAGGTGAACGAAATGCTAAATTAAATCGCAAGGTTAATCGGTATCGATGAGAAATAGTGGCGCGAAATAGCGAAAAGGTTTCACTGGCAGAAGTGGAAAGCGGCGAACGTGCACGGACATTTGACGCAGCCCTCCACCCGTCGCGTTATGGAATTTTTGTGGAACGTTTTTTTTTTTTTAATTGATGCAATTCAGACCAGCTAGCCAGGACGGCTGTGCCTCTCGTAAAACTTTTCGTCGCTTGAATTCGAAGTTTCTTCTGCATTTCTTTTTCCTCTCCTCCTTTTTATATCGTAAACGATCCCGTTGGGAAACACTGTCCCTCTTAACCTTCCAAACGAATACAGAACGGAAAGAAAGACGGAAAGCTCGATTTTTTTAAAAGATACTCAAACACCAAGGTTACCATCTAACGAAGTCTAGTAGCATTCAAAGAATTTTGCGAGGTAATCCATACAGTCGAAGGGAAAAATGAAATGTCGTAGTCGTTACAGAAATAAAAAAAGAAAGCTGTTCATCGTCGTCACCGCGTGCTCATTTCGGCATAATGAAAAGCTTAGCAGTTGGTTTAACTTGGCCGAGGATTAAGTTTACCTCGTTCCAAGGGTGCCAGAGTAGCGTGGAATTTCTGCCTCTTATTTTTCCCCTCCTCACTCCGGCGTTGGAAAAGAGCGCTTCGTAGGTATTTCTTAATTAGCAGCAAGTATCTCGTTCCGCGGAAGTTGCCTTATTAATTAATATTATAGAGGGGTATCCGGATGTTTGCGGGAAGGGATAAATTTGCTTCGAACGATTACACGTTGTACCGATCATGATTTCGATTTTGCCGTGCAGATTTATAAAGGAGCAATTCATAAAGGAGCATTTTATTTCTTTTTTCAATTTCACACTTGAATTCCAAGTTGTTGCAACAATTTTATTCTTTTCCCTCGTCGCTTTCGGAGAATATCATTTAGAAGGGTTGAACAATGCTTGCTGCAACGGAGCTCGGAGAGAAAGTAACTTCTTCGAGGTGTAGTAAAACACTGCCCGAAGGTGGTCGGAGGCGGAGAGAAAAAAGGGACTGGGAAAGAGAGAATGGTTATTTGAGCAGCTAGCTAGCCTTATACTTCGACAAAGAGAGTAGGAAAGAATGGGCACCGTCGCGGAACGAGGGCGGGGAATGTACAGTAGCGGTGAAGTGGCCCGGGTTCAAGTGAGAAGAAAAATATGTAATATCGCCCGGGGCGTTTTAATAAACCGAGTTGGCCAATCAAAGCGGAAGTTAAGGAGCTTTCTCGCCTTTTAACGGCCGCTTTTACGTGCGTTTAAATCACACTTCGTGCCACTCCTAGTCGTTGAGAATAATAGAGGCCGGCGGAGAAGGGGGTGGAGGGTGTATAACGGGAAGTGTGCAAGGTACGGTAACGGAAGGAAAAAATATCCAGGAAGGCGTAGAAATATTTTTATGACTGAACGGCTGCGAGATTGAATGAAAGCGAGAAACGAGGGAAATGTGACCGAACAAAAGAGAAAGAGGGAGCGACGGCGAAACAGAAGGAGGCCGGGGGTTTGCGCCGGCGGTTGCGAGAGAGGATAGGGGACAGGAAAAAGAAGGAAGAGGCAGAGAAGATTGGTTGCTTTGTAACCGGTGTATGCACGATACGCTTACGATGCCGGGTCAAGAGAATAAACGCGCTCGCTCAACCCCGCACGCATACAGTTGCCGCGCGATAACGTATACACACGGTCCGCTGGGCGAACGTAAAAAAATGCGAAAACTTTTGCATTTCGTCCAGGCTCCATTTTTATTCCCGTCGCTTTTTCACTCGAGCATCGCGCCCTCGTGAACGTTCGCTGAGCCTGGACACGCGCGCTCATCGGCCGGATATTATTTCAGTCGGCGCATATTTCCGCAAATGAATTTTATGAAAACAGTTTTTGCTCTTTTAATTAATCGCTCTTCCGTCGCCGGACCCTCGGACCGTCCGCCCCCACACCCTCCGACCCGTCCCGCCCTGCCCCCGCTTCTCTGCCACGGCACTTTTCGTCATTCCGTGGACTCACGTGGATCACCGGGCACCGCGCACAGCTTTTAATAATAATATTGTTCCAAGAACGGCGAGGAGCGTGATGCGTGCGTTCCTTCCCTTTTAATCGCGTTCACCGGATGGAATACGATTTTCGGTCGGTTCACTCGCCGCTTTGTCCAGAGCGCGCGTATTCCGTGGAAAAATACGACCAGAGAAACAATTATCGTTCGTCGTTGTCGCCAAGAAAAATATCTGTCTCGGAATTATTTAAAAATTACCAAAAGAAATCGATATTAATCGAATTAAATAACAGCTATTCAAATGCCTATATCACAATAATTATTTCGCATTAAACGAGGTGATAAAATGCAGTTTACGCTGCGTCCGTGATTCGCGCGCATTAAATCGGTGCCACGCGATTCAGAATGAAGTTTAACCGTGCTCGCGACGATGCCAAAATGCCACGTATACGGACATTTTGTACAAACAGGAATAATCGCCGACCAATTAGACGACGCGAGGGGAAGGGTTCCTTAGTTAGGCGAACACGGCTAGGTGCGCCGCAGATAATCGCGGTCATAAATAACATTTATTGTTGGCCCACGTGGTCTAATTGCAGATGATTACCATGAGCCGCACGAGAAAAATTGCCAATTTGCATCGAATGCTCGCTCCACAAGCTTATTGTTAGTTTACTTACCCCAGACGTTCGACCGCGAAGGTTCTTCTATTAAGGTGTGGATCCACTGCATCGTATTCTCGTATCGTATCGTAGTCTCGTATCATTGTTGTATGCATACTCGTATCTACACCCTCTCTCTCGTAAGGTTCAGTAAAATGCATAACCCAACAAGACGGTCTAAGAGTGTGGCTGAGCATATGGAAATTTCTGACATATCAATGAATAATCAAAGAAGATCTTATAGAATATCTTGCGATCCTTTTGATAAATCGAATAGATTGCTGGTCTCAAAATATCGTTCCCTTTTCGATTTCCTATCGTGGATGCTGCTCCACTTCCGTTTTTTGTTCTCGCGTCGAATATAGCGAGCGAGGGTTCGCGTTCACAGCCGAATAGAGTTGGATCTCGTCTCTCCTGAATACGCAATGCGATTTATTCGAGACGTGGCGTATAAAACACAAAGGACCGCGTATGATTGGTAAATTATTGAGGCATACCGGATTTGTCGGCCAATCACGTAGTAGTCTTAAATAATTCAGAGGAAACGCGAAGGATGCGAGAAACGCGGGGAAAATCTCGAGACAACTACCGACCGGGCATGCGGAGATAATACTTCAGCACAGAGTTTAAACATGCGAAATCAATATTGGCCGTTCGCATCCGCCTTCTTCCGTGGACTGGGTGATACACCGAAAGACACGGTTAACATCGAAACAGTAATTTTATTTGAAATATTCCTATGATAGAACTATGATACAAAACATATCTATGCTATTGAACATATACACTGTTTTACGTATTTACGTTCAAAGTCTTTACATGTACCATACATTGGTTTTAAGACGAAGATGATTAAGTGTTTCCCTTTTTCCTGTTAAACAAGCAGCATGGATACACGATATTCGTCGATGGTATATGATAGTTTGCCTAAAGATCGTTTTCCGTAATTAATTGTAGTCTACACGAATTATTTGGTTAGACAATGATTTGGTTTAGTAGTCGTACGATATAGTTTTTTTTTCTTTTTATTCATCATTACATTTTTTTGTCAAGTGACGCTTAGCGTTAGGAACTACGCGTACTCGCGGGGTCGTTGAGTATTCGTTACGCTTGGCAAAGTACAAACAGAACGTTTCGATAGAAAAAGGTAGCAAACGGAGAGCGAACGGAATCGTAGGTTCGTTCGCGTTCGAGTACTTCTATCCCAGCGCGTTACGAGATGCTAATCGGATGAGACAAGATATGTTTGCTCGCCGAGAGGGTAAAAGTATTCGTGTGCCGGGTAAAAATTATCGCCGACCCGATAGACGTAAGCCTATTATCGGTTCGAGCGATCGTGAAAACTCTTTCCATAAGCGCCCCGCCGACAAATCTCTCGAAGCATATGGTATGAAGGAAATAAAACATTCTCTCCAGCAGCTCTCCTCGTTTCTAATAGTCGATCCGAGGAAGAGCGAGGGAAGGAGAACGAATAACTTTAGGCATAACTCAGCCTCGTTATCTGACTCGCAAATAAGGCAACGGAAAAGTTCGCGACATCAATCTGGCCCTCTACCGGGAGATTCGAAGTTGAAACAATGCTTAAGTCACCCTTAACGTATGAGCCCCAAGGGGTGGCGAGGCTGGTTTGGCTCGGGACACCGAATACCGGCTACCGATTCGATCTGCCAAGCTAACCTCGCCCGCCAATTTCGCCCCGTGGCCATTCCTCGAGTTCTACCTCCGCGGTAGTCCGTTGGTCCGGTAGTCCGGTAAAGCTAGATTTACCGGCGTTGCCCGCAACGGACAGCAAAGTCGACTGCAAGAACGGCCAAACTTTGATCACCCCAGAGCATTCGGTTTACCGGCATTGTTTCCTCGCCCACGTCGGCCTCTCTCTCCCATCCTCCCTTTCCTATTCTAGCCGCTGTCCACTCTGTGCTCCTGTCCATTTTTACATTCTACTTTAGCCGAAATTCGAACAATTAAACTTTGTCTAAACAGCACCAATGATTTTCCACACAGATCCACTAGTACAATTTTTGGAGTCTGATTATTATCTACTATCTTACGCTACCCATCTACACCCCATCCTCTTTTTTCTATCAGTTTGTTCTTTTTCATTTCTGTAAGTTTCATTGTTTTTACTATTATATCGATTCATACATAAGAGAAAAGTTATGTTAAGAAAATGAAATCGTTGAGTGCTTGATAGTTGATCTTGATCTTACGTATAGCTTTTTGTCAGTCCATTTTTCTGAGTCCATCGATATTGATAAAAAGTAATTATAAATTAGTAATTACTGTTTTAAATGGTGTACCGTGGAAGAGTAGAATTCGTTCTTCAGGGAGTGAACCTTTCGAGTGTTAACTATAATAGCGAGACTAATGATAGGAGACGTATCGTTAAACGAATTTGGCAACGCATTTACGATAGGATCGACAGCTTCCGGCGCTTACTTCGTTTGTCATTTGGTATCGTAAGATGCTTGTACATTGACACCGTTTAAATTATTCATGGTACTCAGAATGTTATGGGCGCTGGAGCTCGCCGTCGCCGCGTATCCGTTGTGGTTATGCGTCGCCTCGCCGTTCACTTGCCTCTGCGAGCCACCCGGCGATATGATCTGAAAGACAGAAGATTCACCAAGCTGAAATAGGTTTAAAAATTCATTTGCGATGTTGATAAACGATTTAGATAAATCTTAATACGACAAGGGCGTAGTTAGGATTTCGAGAGAAAATTAAATTCCGATATTTTTCGCGAGCCATGGAGAACCGAGTGCCTCATTTGCCCTACCTTGGCTACGCCCTTGTAATACGATGCAGATTGAGAATCAGTAAGTACTTCGAAGCCGTAAAACGTGTCGCGGTCTTTTTGCTTCCATTGTACGGCCTCGAAGTTCGTTTTAATCCTCGGCAAATCTAATACACCGAAAAGATGGAAAGGAGCCCGATAATTCCATTCGCAATCAATCGAGCGGGCAACGCCTTAATCTGATTCGAACAATTATTCACGACGGAGACTTAAAACACGGGGAAGAGGTGGGTGGTCGTTCGCGCAACGAACGGAAGGGGTTGATGCCGCCACTAACGAATTCGTTTTAGACGGTCGGCGTTCTTGTTCTCGTTTCGGCGCTCGTCTACGATTCTCTCGTCGAAAAACAAAGGCCAGAAGAACGAACTTGTATCTCAGCTCAGTCGGAGCGACTCGACTTGGGCGGGGTTCCCTCTGCTATCTTTTCCCTCTCGATACGTCCTCTCTTTCGCTCCCGCTTGTTTCTCTTTCTCCCTTGCCACTTGTCCCGGACGTTTAACCGTCTCTATCTGGAAGCCGTGTTCACGGGAAACGCGGAGAAAGAGAAAGAGTGCTCGCGGGAGCGGTGGAGAGCACCGCGGGGAGCATGAGATGCCGCTAGGATAGGTAAGTGCCGTTGAAAACTTCAAACTTCGTATCTCTAGCTCCGTTGTTCCCTTCACCATCAGTTTCTCTTAGTTTCGCGTCGGCAAAGGTGTTAAATTATACAGGCTTAAAATTCGGCAGACCGTGCGGCACGTCCCCTCACACTGACGAGATCCTTCTTCCCTTATACCATGATTTCGCGAGAGTTGATCATGCTAACTTTCGCACGACGAACTTGCCATTCTCATGATTTCCCTCATGTGCGGCGAACTTTCTCGTGTCCACAAAGTGGTTGAACAGTTTAGGCCGCGTTTAGGAAAAAAGGCAGGCTTGTTTAATAATTCTCTCGAACGTGATATACTTGAAAGGCGCTTGAAAAATGTAGCCCTTCTTTAATTGGAAAGTCTGACGCGCCGGCTACGGGGGAAAATTCATCCGGAGAGATGGAGCACAGAGGCCAGTAATTAACCCGTAAATAATTACGATAAAAATGACAAAGTGCCGCTGAAGAAATGCTTTATCACCAGTCAAGGGGACGACTTTCTTCCCGTAAGGGTAAAAATTTCTAAATCTTCTTTGCCGCAACGAGAGAACCCTTTTTAGTTTCCCGCGAGAGGACGAGAGGACCAACGTCCTTCTCCCTTTCGCCTCGATACAAACGGCCCTTTCATTCCACCCCTCTTACTCCTCGGCATTCGCTTCTTTTCGCCCCATACCCCCGCCCGGAACACCGCGCGTAATTAAGAAATCTCCGTGGAAGGCTCCGGACCGTTGTTACTCGCTACCACGGGTTAAATTAAGTCTATGACTTATTCAAGTTTTATCTACAATTGCCAGAGGAGGAATTACTGTCCCGTGGATTTACTGCCGTCGTTGTAATCAAACGACACGCGATCTATAAATCGCTTAAACTGTTAAACATCCCTGGTACACGGCTCCAGGATAAAGTTACCCGAACCCGAGTTTTATTTCAAGTAATTCCTACTTTATAATAAACTACTCAAACAGCACTTCTTAATCAGACTATTCTGCGTCAGCGCGAACATATCTTTGCACCATGGCCACGAATAAGACATTAATCCCGACTCGACGCGAGAAGGTGAAGGCAGTTTGTAACTGACGGTAAAACACGGAGCATCGAGGGGGTTCTCGGGGGTTGTCGGCGGTTGCCCAGGAGCTACGGGAATCGCGTGTCATTTGTCCGTTGATCTCCCGCGGCTGGGAACCAGCCAGGTGGTAGCTAGTTCCTTCACGGTGCCGCTTTTCTTAAGCGCAAAAATTAGCGCCACCCTCTACAACGCCATTCACCACCCTATCCTGCGATTCTTCGCCACCGCTTTGGGCACGAGATGAGAATTAGGTACGTCGTTTATCGAAGGAGGATCATTTAGAACAGAATGCCCCGAACCTCGCTATTTTACCAGGGATTATTATATCGCGAAGGATTTCCTTAATGTGCTTCATCATTTGGGCTTTCCGGAGTTGCTTAACGATTCTTAATTGACACAAGACACGCTACTGCTTCCTACAGTGAGCGATAGAAATTCGGATGAACAGTTAATGGTCTTTCAAGATATTCTGTATGGTTCTATTTCGATTAAATATAATACAAGCGACGAGTTCTGTTGCAAACAAGTAGATGTGGACGCAAGTCTAGTCGTGACGAGTAATACCGGTTCCAAAAGAGAGCGGGGCCACGTAGCGTATCGTTGTTTCGCAACTAAACTCATAATCTCACGTAAGCTCGCAAGCTGGCCTTTCCCATGCGAGCTTTCCTTACGTTCAATGTACGAAACAAAGACTAGGAGCTTTACATGAAATTCAGCCAAGTACATGTATTAATAGCACGCTCATTAACAAACACGACATACGTGCTCCGCAGAAGTTCTGTTGCCTTTGCATCGTTTTATCCACGGTTTTAAATATCTTTCTAAGGCCGTTTATTATTCGTGCAACGAAATCGTAGGATTAAACCTTTCGTCGAGAGCAACTCATGCTTGAGTACACCTGCGTCCAATAAGAATGACGTATATTCTCAAGTTTAATTTAATTCAGATCGTTTGTGCACGTTCCAGCAACTTTCCAAGGGTCTAATCGCCTGGAAGAAGTATAGGAGACGGTGTAATACCTTATTCGCCGTACGAATCTCGTACTGCACATTGATCCTCTTAAATTCCCATGTAGTCTCCGTCTTGGCATTAGCATATTATCTTCCGCAACCTGCGCCTCTTACCCCTTGGTACCTCGGTCCCTACCACCACCTTCAACCCTCTGATTCGCGGAGGACTTTGCAGACACTTGAGAGTTCGTTTTAAAACTCAGATAATCGTTTCGAACTCCTTCCCTTTTCTCTTCTCTTTCCGTTACGGCTTAGGTGTCTTCTTCTCCTTATCTCGCAGCCTCTTCGCGCCCTATCCCTTTTCCGCATCGCGTTCCGCTCGGTCTCAAGGGGAAAATTAGATCAAAATAAAACTTCTCGCCAATTTTTAAACGCGTTACAGTCGTCTACATGGTAGGGGAGATTACGTCGTTGAAACGAAGTTTCTCGCGATGTGATAAAAAAAAAAAGCGGCAGCTTCGACGATTTCAAATCGATCAAAAGTTCGCCGTTTAAAGGGCTACAGTGACGCGTTTGATGGATGAGTAACCGCGAGCCTGAACAACGACAAAACGTTTTCCTCTCTGGGTTGGCTGGAGTCGCAGAGAGGCGTAGGAAACGGTTGTCCGAGGGACGGTAATTGAATTTATCGAGGGTGATGACCGTCGTATTTTTTTCCACTCCCTCTCCCTTTTTTCACCCCCATTACCAGTTTACCTAGGATCACTTGGCACGCTCGAGTTATTCGTAAACGGCGCCACGGTCGGGCATTATTTACAAGAGATCCTCCCGAGAGCTCCTCGATGCTACTCGGCTGAGAAAGATTGGGACAGCTGCCTGTTCTCAGGCAATCAGAAAAACTACCTCGCTCTTCCTTCGGGCAACTTCGCCATTCCCGTAGGCCACGGCTTAAGGCGAGCGCTAGGGCGGCAGCTGCCACCGGCAGGATGAACACCCTCTTCGCGGTTTTTAAGAATCTTAACGCCCTTCCCCCTTCTCCTGACCCTCTTTCACTCTCGATTTTGTCAAGCCGAGATAGCGCGGCCACTTTGCATTCCGTCGCGATGTCTAATTCCGTCAACGAGTCCGAGGGGGTCGAGTTATCCTTTCCTTCCTAACTTCTGTTGATCACCCTTTACGCCTACGTCGTTCCCACGATCTTTACGCATGAGTATTCCTCGATGAAACGTATCTCTAAAGTATGTCAGAAAATTAATAAGTTCCTCGATGCAGCAAGTCAGATTCTCCATTGACACGACTGTGACGCTCAGTAATTTCAATGCTGTGACAATTAACGATAGACTCGAGCAGCGAAACGATTCCCCATCGAGCGTTATCTATCGTGTCAAGCTAATGTCGGAAACTAACTGTCCTGTGGACCGTCTTTTCCCATTCAGATGCTAAATGTCACAGCGACATTGACCGAGGAAGTAGAACGTTACACTCCGAACCAGACATCTTTGAATGTTCTCTGCGATCGGAGGTATTCATGCTTCACGAACGACACGTCAAGAGGGATCCATCAGGCTTAACGTAATAGATGCGCAAACGACATTAGCATGCCGCGCCGATTATTGGCATTAGTCTGCTATCCCGTTATTTCCCGCGGCATCGGTCATTTATAACCCTCAGCCGTAAACCCTCGACCGGGATCGATACTATCTACATTCGTCGATCCGCGGCGGCGACGAAGAATGCGTGAGAAATCGCGTAACGCATAACGTACACTATTTTTCAACGGGTTCCGCTTCGTGTCCGCGGCGACACTGGAATCGCCTTCTCGGGTGTCGCGTGTTGAAAAAAGAAAAATCGTTCCGCGACAACGCCAGATTTATATGCGTGACATAATATGTATTTATTCTCAGTAGCGAAAGTAGCAATTGACCGGATTCTACTCTCGCACGTAATTTTTCGTACTCGTAACTTTTCCATTTTGTACGACACGCGGAATTCCGTCGTTCCGATTCGCGGATCGCAATCGGTATTGCGCAAACTGATATTAATTGAACGAAGCACTCACGCACGTGCGACGCGGGACACGGGATCACGGGAGCCGAGGGAAACATGAACACTTACGTGGCGTAGAAATAGAGTCGCAAGGGTTAGCAACCCCTGAATTACACGCAGCTCCCCGACAGGACGGTTAAGGGTAGGAAATTTGCATATTATAAGTAGTACACGCCGTCGTGTCTGATATCATCGGACCCGGGACCTCGTTATTCTGTGCATGCGTACGATTCGAGCGTGTGCGCCGGCAATCTAGCCTCTTCGACCAGTCTTAAAAGTTTGTCTCGAAACTTCCTTAACGTTAGTCCCCGAGCAATTATGCGAATCGTTCCCTCGATGGACAGGCTTGATACCGTACTTAGTAAAAATTAAGCAATCGCGGGGGGAAATTCATTTGATCTCGTACGATACGACTAGGTTTTCTGGTTGCAGATTTACAGATCTGTACTACTGTTGACCGTAGATAGTTGGATGGTAGTCGATCGGTAAATATTGCACTTGGTAAATTACGGTACGTGACGCAGACATGCAACGAGACGTAAACATCCTTGCAAGACGGAGGTTGGATTAAATAGATCGGATCCTCTTCGGGTCGGACGGGCCGAGGTCCGTTGTAGTAGCGAGGGCTTAAGATATTGTTTCGAAGCACGGCTGTTGCCTTAAGATAATCAAGGAACTCAGACGGCTTAACCCCACGGCGACGAGTTCATAATTCCAACTTAGACGATCCTCCACAGTCTTCCATGGTTATTGAGAGATATCTTCGGCAACGATTGCCTAACAAGAATCTTATCTTCTATTCCTGAACAGTAGAACGATTATTTTGCTTATCCATTTTATCGTATATTATATTATTTTTCGTGACAAGGGGGTTGAGTTCCTTGGCTGGCGCGTACGTTTTTATCGTGTAATTTCACTCAAGACGCTGCGCTGGCGAATCCTTATTCAAAGAGCGAATTCTTTCGCACGTTCCAGTCCCGGTGAAGAGGACGGATCGTTACGGCATGCCATGAGGCTTGCTTAACGGGCGAGCTTAATTAATAAGGACACGCGATATCCTAACTCGTAAGACGATGGCGGGCACGTCGTAAAGCATAGCTGAAGCCTCTAGGGAGTCCTTTGTTGTCGAGAGGGTCAGGACGAGGCGACCTGCCACTTTAACCCACCTTAAGGGGTTACGTCTTAAGGAGTTTTGAACCTTCCGTAACATCCGATGATCGTGATCCACGGCAAATTCAAAGCCGGCCGTACCCTTCGGTCCACGTCGCTCGCGCGGGAAACCGATATGCTTGCATGGTCAACGTACGTACATACATATGTATTTGTACGGAACGGGGATATCCATCCACGTTTATAGCGGTATCGCTGTCAAAGCATGTCAACCGGTATGTTCCATGAAGATTGTGTAGATCGCGGGATCAGCGTAAAGGGACCTATTCGCTTGTAGCCGACCGTCGCACCTTATCACCATTGCGTATCATTATGAACTGGCAAGCGTTGTATCAACGTGTGTACATCTTCGTTCATAAGTCTTAGCGTGCGACGGTGATACGATGCGATGATATGATACAAGCGGATAAGAACTTTAATACGCTACGCTGTTCTGAAAGCAGTAGACAAAGAGAAAAATATTTGATTACCGGCGGTTGGAGATTGGTCACCTGTCGCTTGATGTGTGCTAATGTCGCGGTCGATGGTGGGTGGGCGGCCATGTTCGCGAAAACCAGTCTCTCCTCGTAGTCGGTCTCGCACAGGATTTTGTTCTCGCACAGGAAAAACTTGTCACCTATGCAGAATCTGCGAACAAGATAAATTAATTGAGATGGAGATGCTAAATAAGGTAATACTATGTAGATAAAAGAATTCTATAGCGAGTACGACGAGACTCGAAGATGTAAAGAAGTTCTGTCGTAAGAATTGTCGTAGATACGGAAAGCAGTAAACCGTCCTAATTCCTTTTAAGTCCATTTCCCGTTCCGGTTCGTCGAGGAAATTGCGAGAAAATAAAAACAAGCAGCGAAACGCCACCCGTCCCGGCAGCTTCCGAGAAGTCTTCGAGGTCTTTTAAATGTAATTTCCACTCGATTGGCAGACGCTACATCGTACCAGGATTACCGCCGAGTCCTTAGCTTTCTCGCCCAAATGGCGGACGTTGAATACCGGAATCGAAATCTCTTTCTACGACACGCCGACGAAGTTCACGTATTTACGAATGTTGCTAATTTTTCTGCGTCAGATATGAAAATTTCAAGCCTCTCTTCGATAGCCTCCGGGATCGAGGCGGCTGTACTTTAAAATTCAACGTATAAAATCCATGGTATTTTCCTGTGATCCTTCGTGCTATATGTAGAGAAGGAAACGCAGATTTCGAAACGGTGGCAAAGTACGAACGTGCTTCGCTTGCGATATAAGAGAAATAAGGTTGCCGCGAGGGTTATACGCATCGACCAACTGTCGCCATGCCAGCGGGAAGGGGCGTCACTAAAATCAAAGATTTCGCATTTTTCCTTTTTATTGCCGGCTTAAAAGTCAATTTTTTCTGTAACCGCGAGGTTCCCGCCTCTTTCGGGTGTCCGCATAAAGGACGATACGCCGGAAATGCTAAAGAACCTTCGGAACGAGGATCACGAAGGCGCCCGGTTGAACACAATAGATCCACGAGGGACTTGAAAATCGTTTTGTCAGGATACTGCGACGCGTTGAAATTCTCGTCAGGCGCCATGAACATCGCTCTCCCAGCGTTATACGCATAAAACCGCGATATGACGAACTCATTCCTGTGATTTTTCTTTGAAGAATAGAACGATCCTTGTTATATAACACAATTTTGTGCCACATAACTGTATAATGTACTTGAAGAATCTTTAAAGCGCTGTGCGCATTGTATTCCGATAATAAGAATTTCATAGTCCATCATGAAACTGGAAAACCTATTTTCATATGTTTAATACACGAAAACGACGTTGAATCATCGTAAAGCTCGCGTAACTGTAAACCTAGGCATACCTGAGTATCGTAACTCGCAGACGAATAATAAAAGCATTTTTTTTTTACGCTGAAGGGACAGTACATCGCGTACATACGGACATTGCGTATTCAACGGATGTGCTGTCCCGTGCTGGGATCCTGTTTGAGTTTTATGTCGGGATTTCTGTCGAGTGGTTTATACCGGCGCTTATGTAAATGCAAACGTGATTTTTTTCAGCACCTACCCGAGCCACCTGCACGGTTATGCAGAGCATTTGCAGAGCATTCGAAACGAGACGAGCCGAGACATCGTAACGTGAGTACCAAAAAAAAAATATATATATGCATTGCGTAATTCAGGATTGAATGTCCTCGGGCTCGTTGATACCAGAAATTTTCCAAGTAAATTGCATGGAAATGGCATTTTTATCAGTCTTCGCCGTTCGGTCGAAGAAAAATGGAGCGGTTTTCGATAAGCAGCGCGGTCGATGGCATAGGGTATGATTCAACGTCATCAAAAATGAATTGAGATAGCATCTGTTCGATATCGCGGGCAGCGATTACTTCGATTTTCCATTCTTTTAATTCCGCGAATGATTGGGAGAATACGGGGAAAGCAGAGAGGAAAGATCGTAGTAGGTAGGAGACCGAAGAGCGATCGGAACATCTAAGCATGGGCCGCTATAAAAAGCAATGCTCCACCGTAACGGGGTACGATAAGTGCCATGGTGCGAAGTAAAATCGATCCCGGGGGCAGTCTCGAATCGTGCGCCATAAAAAGGGACATTAGAGCGAGAAACGCTGGAACGGTACTGAGAGGAAGAGAGACACTAGGCTGAATGGTGGCATAATGGTGTTGTGATTTTCCGAGTAGATATGCGATATAGATTGCGTCTGTGTAATGTTAAACGCTTCGAGCATTAGTGACGTTAAATGGCATCGGAAGGGTTGCGGCAATGCCGTAACAAATACCAAAAAAACTAGATTTTCATTTCTATATGTTTCATTAGCTTTGTGAGGGTAATGCATGAAAATTAGAGAAATAAAGTCGGTTGAAGTTGTTCCGGAAATCTTCGTTAATTGTTCTCCGCGTCACGACGTTGCTAACAATGAGTCGAGAGGAAGCCTCCGAGATTCGTCGGTAAACAGGACGAGTTGTCGAAGCTGATGGGGTGAGAAACCTCAAACGGCGAGACTTCGACGGAGTCAACGGGTAAAGTGGTGAAGCGGAAGAGGTGGTTGCAAAGGAATAAATTTTGTACTTGATCGCGGGAGTCCCTGCCGGGAGAGAAGAGCTCCGAGAAACCGTCTATATTCTTGGTAGTAGCTGCTGCTCCTACTCAATTTGCATCAAACTATGGAGAGACAACCAACCCCCCGCGTTCGCGCGGCATCCCCACACCTCCAGAGTGGCTTCTCGCAGAGCAAACCGTTCTAGCACCTGATGGAGCTGTACACTCCTTCCCCTTCCCCTTCGATGTTCTACAGTCGAGACTAACGCGTTTAGCAGAGACTCGAACCCCTAATCAGATCTTCCTGTGCCGACGCCCAGGGTTTCTAAGGTGCTGCTAAGTGTGAAGTTAATGGAGTCAAGACGCTGCTCCATCCTGCAGAGACGTTTGTCTGGTTTGACGTTAGGCAGTCCTGTCTGTTCGCGAAGTGATCAAAAATTTGACTTGTAACAATTCTGAAATCCCCCTTGTCACTTCTTGAATATCATCGTTAATTGTGACGTTATTCACATATTAGTAGATCGTGTCTGAAATAGAATCAACTGCTAATCATAATGTCACGAGCGTCTACATTTATTTAAGAGCTTGATGAAAAACGGCTGACGGCAAATTAAAGTATTTATTGAAACGTCAAATTCTGGCAGATTTTAAGCAGAGGAAACTAGTATATTTAAAAATATACATTTAAATGAGAGTCTTCGAGAAGAACAGTTCTATTTATAAACAAGGATATCGATCTAATTTTCCCGATATCTCGTGGCGCTTCATATCTGGCCGCTTTATTTCGATAATGGCTGCTTATCTAGCGCGTTCTCCTGTTAATTAATTCAGACTGTCGGGGTATCACAGGGAACTGCGACGCGCTAATTCGATCAGAAGTGAATTCGCTCGGTTCGGTAGCGAGGGCTGGCTGGTCGCCCGCCGCCGCTTTGGGGGAAGTACGCCGCCTTTGCTTCCAAGACAGATTTACCCCCGACGTAGACAGTTGACGTCGCTATCTAAATGTCGCGTCGGAATGCCACTCGATAATACAGTGAACGCGACGCGACGCGTCGCGTCTCGGATCGCGGATTCGACTCATTGTCCGACCCGTACCGTGCACGTTGACATGGAAATGTTCACGGGCTCTACGTCATGTCACGCGCCCCATCGATGTTCGAACCAGGGGTTAGTCGTTAGGCTCAAGAATCAGAGTGGACTCGACATTTTTTTCAACTTAAATTATAGCCTACAGACTAGCTTTAATTATTTCCAGATTTTTTACAATCGACTCATTATATTTATTATAATTATCGTGCATATTAAAAATTGTAACTATATAGAGAAATTTTGAAACAAAGGACTGGAAAATTGAATCGCCCTGATGTGTGATCGAATGTCACCAATTGTGAATCAAAAATGGAAATCGCGGGCGACAGCTTCATTTGCCATTCCGACCGGGTATTCAGCTGTAAAGTTCGCAAAGGGAAGCATTCGTCTTTCTATTAATTTCTATGCGGCGTGAAATTACGCGCCGTCGACCTTAAGCTATATTAATAACCTAGATTACCGAAGGAAATTAAGACAGCGATGGGTCGTTGATACCTTTAGGAACGTCGCTTTGTTGCTCGCGACCGAAGGGGTTGAAGCGGACGCCGCGGGGATGAAACTGCGATATTTCCGTGGGACGCGCTCGCTGTATTCTCGTCATCGTTTCGTAATGCCGCGTCTTATCGAACAATCGCAACGCATCGCTCATCGCAATATATTTCTCCTCCACGAAATTCTTTAACGTTTCGCGCAGACCGATCGCTCTTCCTTGCCGGTATTGTTCTGCGTTATGCTAATACAATTTCCATTAATATGCAACGAGGCCCGGCGCGGCGGCGGAGAGAAAAGGAACGCGTTATCGTAAATATGGAGGGCGTTTGGTGGCTGTTGAAGTCGAATCGGTTCGGAGCAGTATCGCGAATCGATCGTCTTAGGTCGCCTTCGAAGAAAAAGTTTCAAGGCAAAGCGCAATCACATCAAAGATTATTTCCGCCAATAAAACGGAAGTCGAGTTTCGGTCGATGGAAACAGGAAAACGGAAGGAGGGAGCTGTCCGAATCGTTCTCGGCCGCGGAACAAGACGAGGTGAGGGGAAGAACCGTGCTAAGAAAACGAGGGAGCTGGGAAGGGTGAGAGCACAGATAGAACAGGAGGAGGTATACGTATATAGGGTGGCAGCAAGAGAGGTTAACCGACAAGCTCGGCAATAAATCTACCGTTCGCCCGAAGCAGGTACTTATCAGTTCTCCAGGATCACCCGCGACATCGGTGACTGCGAGAAAAGCCTGGCGGGCTCTCATCTCTCGAAATTGACATTCGAGTCGGCCCGTCGGTCTATAGGAACTATGCGCCTCGACGACTATTGTATCACGACCGACGATAGTGGCGAAGGAAACGGTTGGACGTTTTCCAGTGGTTGGTTTCATCACGCGAACGATGAAAGGTAGGAGGAATCGCAGCGTCGATTCGACGCGCGATTATCTCCGTTTCACGGAAGCATATTGGCTGGTGCTGCATAACCGTGCATGGATAGTCTGCACGATCGATGCCCATTTCGAAAGGCTAAGCTCCCACTCTGCATAATTGCCAGTTAACGGCAACGAACTATAATGCGTTCGCATGAACGCACACGCGCGCTCGCGCACCCCTGCCACGGATACGCACCGGTACAACAGCTCCGGGAAACATCGATTTTTTCTTTCTTTTTTCTTGTTTGTTTAGCAAACGCCGGGCGCGAACAAAACGCGATGGTCCTTCAGCCGGTTAGAAATTGACAAAACAGTTTTTGGCAGAGCCGACCGAGGACTTAATTGGCCAGTACAATGGGGAAATCTGCCAATTATGGCAGCGACTGATGCTCGATCGATCCGCTCGTAAGCACATACTCGTGACCATTGATAAGCATCGTCGAGAAGTACGCGCTGCCGTACTCCATAATTCCAGATAAACTTCGGTTAATTTGAATGGGCCGGTCCGCGCGTGGGCGAGCTTACTACGAGAGACCAGAAGCGGGAGCGGACCGCTAAGTCGGTTTGGTCTACGAGCTGTCGGGCAACTAATTGTAAGAGGGAATCGGGTTAAACGCGAGTTACGTCGCGCCGTTGCCTAAGTTTTCATCATTAAGTAGCTCGCAACTAGGTAGTAACAAGGGTTCGACCTTCCAACCTCGAAATCTTGCATGTACCGATATCGAATATCGAAGTTGTCGAGCAGATATCACGGTAGCAATGACTGTAACCGGCGGGCATTGTCGGGGTTTCGTTTTGCCTCGCTTCATTTCGTGAGGAACCTCCGGGCGAGTTCGTCTGGATTATCGATGAAATACAGTCGACTCAGCCTTTTTCGATACACGTACGTACACGTGTAACAGTCGTTGTCTCCGATAACACAAAGAGCGTCTTCAACTCGTGTCGATTTTATATATGTATTTATCTTCCTGTCGCGTTATTGCCTCCTTTTCCACGTTGCACTCATTGAACACGGGCCAGACAAATTGAATTAGTAAAATAGAATTGTTAAATGAAACACGTTTATAAATGAAAATTTCGAGTGGCGTTCACGTTTTTTGTCAAACGCAAAGAGAGGGGCGGAGGGGTTTACGAGCAGAAATAAGCGGTGCTGGATGTTTAAAAAGCGGTGATTCAATTTTACGCTCGAAAAGAGAGCGCCGCTGCCCTCGATGCATAGTCGGGCGCTGTGGATGACAGGGATACCGGTGTTGACGTTCCTGTAATTTGGCTGGAAAATATCCAAATCGTTCGCGTAATTCTACCAGAAACAATAGATTGCTCGAACGTTAATTCTATCGTTAAAATGTATTTCGCAACAGTTCACGCGAATCATTTGTGTACTCCAAGCGTAATGGTCTGATGGAAGCGGATGATGGGAGGCTAAAAGAATTCAATCGCTTTCCATCTCATTGTTTACCTTCTTACGAGACAGAGAAACGGTGAATCTCCGGCGTATCATACGAATCGAGCGTACTGCCGAGCAGATTTAATAAATTGCACCCCACGGCAGAATAATACAACCCCTTGCCGTAGGAGGGTTATGA